CCGGAGGCTGCAGGACTGGCGATGTCTCTGGTGCAAGGCCATCGTAAGGATGTGTCCGTCCTAGTGTGTCACCCCCCCTCCTCGCCCCTGGCATTGACAGCACTGCCCCTCCTGGGGCATAGCTGGGGAAACTGAGGCTGGGGGCTTTGGTGCTGTGTCCCTGAGCTTTGCTTACACAGGTGTCCCTGTGTCCCCAGGTTCACAGCGCCTGCAAGGAGCTCTTGGGCAGGAGGTGCCCCCTGGGCCAGTACAAAGTGTCCATCATCCCGCCAACCGCCTTGAACAGCATTGATTCAGACGGTGAGTCACGGCGGGGACGGGGACGGGCTGGGGGGGGGCGGTCAGGCTGTTCGGGACAGGGCTCTGAGCTCCTCTGCTGGCTATGACTCGTGGCCTGGCTTTGCTGCAGGGCACCAGGGCCACCACCCTCGGTAGGGTCCAGAGGCAACGCCCCTCCGTGCCACCCCTTTGGCTGAAGGCTGCTCGTCACCTTGCGCTCGGCCCCAGGGCTGTGGTGGTGCCATGCTTTAGGGTGCCACTTCTTCCCCATGGGTGGCTTCGGTTGCTCCTGCCAGGCTGCCTTTCTTGGTGGCCCTGGTCATGGTCACTCCATGCCGGGGTCAGCGGTGCTAGCCCTGAGCCCCTGACGTGGGGTGCCCCCCGTTGCACCCCAATGGTTCAGCGCCCGGCAGGGCAGGATGAGGTCCTTGCTTGGGTTATTTCTCAGTGTCCGAACCTCGGCTGGTTTTTCAGTAGCGCAGAACGCAGCTTCCCCCTGTTGCGGGTGGCCGGGGGGGGTGGTCCCTGGGGGGCCCCCCCCTGCCACCATCTCCCTCACCCTCTCCAGAGGGGACCAGCTGGCCTGTGCTGAGTAAAATCTGTTCTTCTCCTCCGGATATTTCTTTCCTTGTTCTTTAACGATTTTCACCGCTTGGCTCAGCCAGTGGCTCATCTGCTTCTCGTTACTCATCAGGATGCTGTCAGGGTAACCACCACGCAGCTTCTCCTCCTGCTTCAGAGCTGTGGCTGCTCATGGCTGGCTCCCCCTTTGCCCGTCCCCATCCCACCCCACCCCATCCCCATTGCCACTTCTTACTCTCCCTCTCGTCCTTCACCATCCCCCCGACCACTGTCCCTCTGTCCAGCCCTGGCACCAGTCAGGGTGTCCAAGCGGCCTCTGCTCTCCTACATTGTCTCCGTTGGTGCCCCTGGGTGGTGGGAGCCAGGGCTGGGCACTCATGCACTTGGGCTCACCGCAGGTTTCTGGAAGGCCACCTGCCCCTCAACCTGCTCCAGCCCTCTCCTGGCCTTTGTCAACTCCAAGAGTGGGGACAACCAGGGCGTCAAATTTCTGCGCAAGTTCAAGCAGTTCCTCAACCCGGCCCAAGTCTTCGACCTCATGAACGGGGGCCCGCACCTGGGGTAAGTGCTGGCCTGGGTGCCCCGGGGTGGCCCCGGCGGGGTCCTGGTGGGTGCCCGGGCCCGCCCCCCGCCCCCCT